ACGCCCCCCGTCTGGTGCACTTGGGTGCACTGCAACCCGTCCACCCCTATGTTGCCTCTCGGGAGCCACAAGTGGCCGGGCAAAAATGCCTTTGTTGTAGCGGCGTGTTAATATCGACCCGCAACCAACACACCCCTTCTCTGCCCGTGCCCCGCCCGGCGCAGCCCAGCGCAGCCTGGCGCCGGCTCGGATCCGATCAGTCTCACATGTCTCGGCGCGGCTCGGGGCGGCCCTGCGCTCGGCTCGGCACATGGGCCAATCGCGTGACGCCCAAAGCGGCGCGGCGTGAACGTGCTGCTTGCTGCTGCTGCTGCTGCTGCCGAGCTGCTGCTGCTGCGTTCCACCCCCCACCCCCCTCCCCCCATATTGAGCAGGCGTCAGGGGAGGAGGGTTTAAAAATAATATCCATCGGTACTCGCGTTCCCAACCCCCACCCTCACCCTGGCTACAGGGAGCAGGGCGTGAGGGTGGGAGCGGACAGACAAAGATAGCCTCGCGCACGGAGGGGGCTGTTATTCCAAGAGGGCCCCGCCTTCCGGGTGCGGCGCTATATAATTCTCGCGGATATTTTTGCGCGGCCGGGGCACCGGCAGCCGCGGGTATGCTTCAAGGGCTTAACGCACCCCCGCGCCGCCGCTCCGCCGCCCCGCGACCTCCAGCGACTCGCGCGCGCCGGCCGGACTGATGCAGCTTAATGGTGCCTGTGAGTGTTCTGCTGTTCGTCCCCGCGCGGCCCTCTCGCCCTCATGTTTATGCAGCGCGTGGCCGGCGCACGCCGCTCGGCCCGCTTGGCCGCCCCGCCGCGCCATTCGTTGACCCTGCCCTACGCGCGCCGCGTCCGCCCGCGCGCCCACCCGCTGCCCTCAAGGGAACCATACCATCGCATCGCGCGGATTCCGAGTCCGCGTCGCTAGGCGAGCATGTCGAGTGCTGGAAGTAGTAGGCGGTGGGGGAGGGAGAGGTGCGAGTGAAGTGGGCGCAAAAAGGTGGTGGGGGTGAGTGGGATCCCAGGGTGGTGGAGTGGGCGGGCGAACGCCCGCGCCGTTGGCGTTGCCCCGGCGGCCTCCACCCCCGCCTCCCGCCCGTCAGGAGAAAGGGTGCAAGGCTTTCTCGCGTGCTGGTCGTGTTATTCGCGGCGCGGGTGGGCCGGCCGGGGCGGCGGGGCCTGAGGCGAGGAAAGAGGGTGGCGAGCGCCCCGCCCCGCCCCACCGGGCTGGGATTAGAGCCGTCGGCCTCTCCACCGCCTCAAGGACACTCGGCAACGCGAATCGATACTCGCAGAGTGACCAGCGGACTTCCGCGTCGCCGCGCCCGCGAGTGCGTTTGCGTACCCGCGCCGAGGGAAGCCCCGCGCGGGGTCACGCGACCGCCTGCTGTGTATAACGCCCCGACTGTCGCGTGTCCGCAGGTGTCGCCGACAGTGTCAAGGAGCGGGTCGGCGCCGTGGTGGACGGCGTGGAGAACAAGATCGGCGCGACGGTGACCACCGTCTCGGACCAGGTACGGTATACGTGTGAAGAAGCCGGGTCGGCGTCGTCGGCGGCTGGGACGGGACGTCTCGCCGACGTCAAGGTGCATGCGCCGACGCCGGCGGGCATATTGGCAGGGGGAACGGATGGGGTCGGGCTAGGAGGCCAGGAGGCCACGCCTGTCAAGCTGCTCCTCCCTCCTCCTGAGCCCCCCGGCGGAGCCCCTGCGCGGTAGGCACGCCCGTCGCGCTCCGCTGTCCGTGCGTGTGGCCTATCACGCTGCCGTAGGGCGCTCTCCGCCCCGCCCGGCGGTCCCCTCCTGGCGGCACCCGATGGCCCGCAGCTCCAGCGCGACTCTTGTTGACTCTTGTTGTTGACCCCACGCGGTTGACCCGCAGGTGACGCACGTGGTGCAGCAGGTCGAGTCCAAGGTGGCCGGCGCGATCCACGGCGCGGAGGAGGCCGTGTCCGGTGGCGCGGCCAAGGCGCAAGACATGCTGAACCACATCAAGGAGGAGACCGGCGTGGACAAGCACGAGCAGGAAATGCAGGTAAGTTGCACTGTAGGTGCCTGCTCTCCACTCTACACACATTCGGCGTGTCCGCGTCCGCCGCCGTGTCCAGTCAACCTCTGTGCGCCCGGGGACATGTCCGTCAGACCGGACTTGTCGTTGGCGAAGGCTGGCAGACTCAGCGGACCCGGACATGCCGAAAGCGTTCAGTGTGGGGGCACCTTTTGACTAGCGAGGTTTTCGCCGGAAGTGCACTTTTTGTTGCACGTATATTATCGATCTTAAATGCATGAAGAGCCGTCGAGGCCCAAACGCGCTCGGCATAAAAGCGGACGTTAAACGACAGCTACATGGGGTCGTAACCGTAAACTCCACTCTATCGAGTATTCCGATCAATAGTCGTTTAGCTGCTGTTCCTTTAATTTTTTACTTTTCTCTTCTGGTGTAGCCTTCCATACCGTTGTACTTTTGCAGGAGATTTTGGATTCCATCGATGAAGTCACGGAGATCCCGGAGAAGAGCGTTGAGCTCGACAAGATGGAGTCTTCAGCAACAGAGTCCGCCGTCGAGGAGCTGAAGGAGGCGGCCGAGGAAGAAGTGAAGGATAAGGTGGAGAAGGTGGAGGCCGAGGTTGAGACTATTCACATGTAAGCGTGCGCGTTCGCCTTTACTTTTTGCCCCTCACATCTTTCAGTCTGTACCATGCTCTTCAAACTCGACTGGAGCAAGGCCTGTATTATTAAGCCATCAGCTTCGTGCAGATTCTATTATTAGGCTGGCTGAAGCCGCATCCAAGCCATGTGTACCCTCATGTCATCGGTTCTTTTAATGGGCAAAGTCACCTTTAATCACGGAACGCGCACTGTTAAATTAATAATACTCATTGGAGAGGGGGAGCAGTAGAGGCTATTTCAACTCGAGTCATAGAGGTAGTTATTTTTAGATGATGCGCGCTTTCGATTACTCCCGGCGGAGCACCATCCGACCCGGAATTATTTTATTTCCACGACCTCTCTGACAGGTGTCAATTTGTAGTTTTCTAAAGTTTATTTAATGCAAGCTGATCTCTTTCATACCTTTAGGTACGCACTGTATGGTGTAGAACTATTACTTATTATACTTTTATCAAACTTAGTGTAGCACAAACAAAAAACTTTTTATATGACGTCATTTATGATCAATAATAAGGTACCTTTTTTAGACAAAAGTGAAATAAGAGTTTTGTTATTACTTGACTACAGTGTTGAACCTTCTAGAATCGTGATATGTCACCAGCAACCAACGACATGGGGGTGGCCCCGCGAACACAAGGCACAACACTAATGCAGCTCGCAGCTCACGTCAGACCAGACACCTACGTGTTCATTTTGTTCACGAAGCCCCTGTTCGCCTAATTCTAGGGGGGAACGATCATCACCTATCACGCCGCAAGTTCGTCGCCCCCACCGGGAGGGCGAGGAGGTGCCCCCCCCCTCCCCCCCCGGCTCGGTCCGAGGGCCCAAGGACTGGAGACTGATCGATGATTTGAGGGGAAGGGGTGTAGTATATGTTGTACAGGGCTCGCTGTGGCGGTATATGAGGTGACGCAGGTCACGCGTTCAAATGAATTTAATAATTTTACACAACTTGATAGAATTAGGAGTGCTCCACATTACCGGCATCGGTTCCTTAAATTAATTTTCTTACGAATTTAACAACATTTCCGTTGAGAATAATGGAATAGTTAAGTACATATATTACACAGCGCCTAACTTCAAGTTATCATGCTATACATGTTAAACAAAAACCTCCCTCAATCACTAAGCTGCATTATTTATTCGAGTGATAACATTCACAATGAGGGAATTCCAATGCTCTGTTACTGCGCTGAGTAGTAAACTGCTATGTTTTACAATGAGCAAATAGGTTGTTCAGTTTAATATTAAAATTATAACTAACTCACAATAAGAGACAGTACATTTAATGTGCCCACGATTTTTTCTTATACATACAGGTAAGAAAAAGAGGGGATAGTTGTATCGAACATTGGGGGGAAAACTATCTTAACATAAGAAATAGGAATCTAATGAAAAACATACATGATAACATGATACAAAAATGGGCATCAGCATAATTTACAAAACTTCTAGAAAGATCAATGATATGTATTATGAATTAAATCTAATAATACATAGAAAAGGACTAGATATTAGTTTGCATTCCTCAGACAACTGAAAAGTCTGAGCAGAAGAGATGAAAATGGTTTACTGAGCAAACAACAAGAATAGTAAAGGGCTAATTCAGATAAATAGGTTAATGAATGATATGTCTGATGATGGTAGTTACAAATAGACATTTGCTTCAAGATACAAAGACATACAAATACTTAAAAAATTACACATACTAAACAATTGAGCATTATCCAATAAACAATGCATGCAACAATGGAATGTAAGGAATTGAGGTGTGTTTCTTGCCTACCAATTTACAATAAATGCATACCATATAACCACTACATTCATTGACCAAACGAGAACAAGAGATATATTTTTTTAATTGACTTTTACTTGGGAGCACGTTTTATAACTTTACCATTAGGATCAGATATTGCATGCTTTGGATCACATGTAAATGAAATAGTCATAGCAAATCTTGTACCAGAGCGCACTCGTTCAACGAAATGTGTGTTCTCCTTTCCTGAAGTGAACATAGAAACTCGTCCTGTAAACAGAGATGAATCAGAGTTGACAAAAAGAGGATGTAAACAATCAGCATTCCACTTAGGCATCAAAAGATAAAGCTTACCTTTTCTAGGTTCTACAGTAGAATTCACATTATCTTTATCAATAAAAATAAAGCGGCCTCCATCAAAATCATCACCATAATCAGACAAGTACAAAAGAGAAGTGTAATGAAACGACTTGTAGGTGTCCTGTCATAGATTAATGAATGTTAAAGATTTTTAAAATACATAAGTTCATGCTTATTGAGATTTCATGTACAGAAATAAACTTACCTTATCCACATGAGGATGCCAGTACTCATCATGTTCTGTACCTGGAGGCAAATTTGTGAGCCGAGAGAAAAATGTGGGATGTGTAAGGTATAAGACATCAGGCGATATTTTGAAGTGCTGTGCAACCGCACGGTGTATCTTGATGCGAACTTGTCTGCAACAAACCAAATAGTTGCTTCAAATTCTATTTCAAAATTCTTCACATTTCTTCCAAATTTTGGTTCTTAGGACTTTCCGCTTACTTGTAGGTATCAAAGTCTGATTTCCTGTAAATGTTCTTCCCTTTCTCTGTCATGTACATATTTATAAAGGTACGCCCAACAGATAGTGCCCCAGAATGTAAATCAAGGATTGAGGCCCCACCCAAAGAACCTCCAAGGTTGAGGCCTCGTTTTGCTATCTCCAGCATGGCTTGAGCCTCTCCAACAGTTATCAAGCTATCTGAGATAAGACGTCCACACTTCTCTGGAACGCAACCTGAGATTAAAATGAAAAATAAATATAGACATGAAATACAAAATTGACAACATTTTTATCTTGAAAACAAGGAATTCTCTTTCTACCTGGATAGAGTTCTACTTCAGATTGATACGATTCAGAGCAATCCAACAATTGTTTCCGCTGATGAAGAATTTCATGTTGCCGAGCAAGTGGTACTTCTTTCCCATTTTTGGATGTAAAATAAACAACAATCAAAAGAGCAATGATCATTATAGCTCTCGTCCATACTCGCTGATGGGGAAATCTTGGCATAGGCCCAAATTTTCTGCCAAAATATTTTAAAAGTAGTTACAGACCACACAAACAACTGGTTTACATAGGTTTGAGGTTGACTAGTAAGGGTGCAATGCAAAACAACACAAGATTTAGAAATAAAATCTCAACTAGTTTTTTGTCATTTAAATATTTTAATAGTGTTGATGACAAAACTGAACAACAGCATCTGATCTAATTAAAACATCATTTTTCTGTTATTTTATTTAAATAAAAAATTCAATAACTACTCACGGTTGAGTTGGGTTACCGCCTGTCTGCTTGGACTCATCCCTGTCACTGGATTTGGAATCTTTGACAGGACCCTTTCTATCCGAAGGCTCTCGGTGTTTACTGGTATCTGAAGTCTTTCCGTGCCTTTTTACGGCTTTTGTTTCTGATTCCATAATTGAATGCAGACTTGAAGATACAAATGTCACTTTTCGAAAACAGAAAAAGCAGAAACGATTACCCGATTACCGACCCCTTCTTCCTCATTTTGTTCTTCTTCCCGTTACCCCCTTTCCCCCTTCACCCCCTCCCGTCGAGCTCAATTGTTTTGACTGTACTATTTCTCATAGGAAACCCGAAATATCCGAATGAGCAGGAACGAACGACCGAGGACTCGACCTCGGAGAATGAAGAGAGAGAGAGAAAGATATAGGACCAGCCTTGAAGAGCGAAAAAGACGGACGATTTGTACTGAAAATGGATATGGCTGCCGTGCACTCCTGTGAAGACGACCACACGAATTAATTTATTTTAGTGTTTATTTTCTGAAAAATATGTGATATTTTCAAGATCAGCAAGTGTATGGAAAGTTCACATATGCCATTTAACTGTAGGAGTGTAAGATGTCCACGAGATCACAGCTAACGAAGGATCTTAACGGTATGTCCCTAGGACTTTGGCATGTTTACATTTTTCGTTGACAGGTATTCCAGGGCGTTTGATAGTGAATTTTCCAAGTCTTTTTTACTTTCTCTTCTGGCTGTTATTAAACGATTAATATTCCATTGTCATCGGTCCCTTTCCTAGCGTTGGTGTTAAATGTTAAGTGTGTTCAGTCCACCAAAAATCTTAGAGCAGCCGCCCTTTTTTCACTCCTATCATAATCTTTTTCTTTTCTCTAAATTTGTCAAGATTTTATTTCATATTGTCAGTAAAGTTAAAGGCAATGTAGTCACATCATCAGTGACATCTCAGATTCAAGCTCTATTTTGTTCAACACAATCGTATGACAAGCTACTGTCAAATTCTTTAGGTTAGGTTTTGCATGACTCATTTGGACCGGAACTCTTCCATCGAATTCCTACGAAAACACAGCTCGCTGTCATTAGACCCGGCGACCCATTTCATTTGTCAGTTCAGTAAAATTGATACAATCTCTTCTAATTTTAAAAGTGTACCATACTCAGAGGCTTCTTTATGTTGATGACATTTAAATGTTTGTTATGTTTATGAAAATTGATTAAGTTTGTTATTGTGCACTGTACTTGATAGACTTATTTCTGTTGGAATCCCAATTGATAAGTTAATGCAATAACTTTTGTATTTATTGCAGAAAGTGTGAAGGCTCTCTTAGGGAAACATGTCAAAATATTGCTCAAGAATGTTGTTAAAATGGAGACCAAGGGAGACAAGACAGAAAACCGTGTCTTGGTATGTAGCATGTTAGTGAGATAGGCTGAAGTAGAACTTAATTTGAAATCGTAAATAAATGTGCCTCTTTTAATTTCCAGGTCTTCTCTCCTTGTCGCCTCTTTCTTCTCACAGCCAAAGTCCCTACAAGGGTAAAGATAATGAACTTCTCTGAGAGCTGAATTATTTTTTATTGTTTTTTTTTATGGCCTGTATATTATACCCATTTTTTTTTCAGATTGACTTCCACTTCCATTACTTGGAAATTCAAGCGGTTAGCAGTGTGAAGAATAACCAGGTAGCTGTTACCTTTTTTTCCGCTGTTTCCTCTTGTCTTCCAGTTAGTGTCTCAAATCTAACCCTATTTGTTTATTGTTTTCAGTTATGTTTGACTGTACATGACAAGGGATACTCATTTCTAACATCTGAAGAACAAGGAACCCAGGAAGTTGATGCAATGATTGCTGCCCTGGCTACTGCTATGCGAAATATTTTCCCAACTGTGCCAATTCAGTAAGAATTTTGTAGCCATTTTTTCTCAACAATGTTTGTTTTGTATATTTTTAAATTGATACACAACAATGTGTTTGCTTTTAGGCACATAATTCGAAAGATTGAAGTACAACCTCCTAAACGAATTGCCCACCTTCAGGATGGAGAAATTATACGTGGAGCTGAAGTAAGGGGAATGGGTCCATGTGGAGGTTTCAGCACCCAGTACGCGTGCATGTGTGATTTTCATGGGATGCCCTATCGTGATGAAGTTGCCTGGGTATGTCTTTCTTCCTTTTTATTTTGAATTTGGTCACCTAATTTGAATTATTTTGAAGTATACTGAAAAGTCTCTTACTATTTAACACAATACTTTTCCCACAGGATGTTGACACTATATATCTCTCTCATGATACAAGGGAGTTGTCATTAAAAGATTTCGATCACCTTGATTCTAAGTATGGTCACATTTGTATTGTTCAAAAAACTGGATTGTAATTGATTGAGTAAGGTATCTTATACAATTTTCTATTCACTCTAGGGATTTGGTACCTATTATTAGTGCTTTGGAATACAATACTTGGTTCACCAAAGTCCGAGGAAGTAATATATGCCTCACCCGAGAAGCTATTGACCGAATACTACATGTTGTCAAAAATTCTCTTAGTATTGAAGAACTTTATCTTGACTCTATTGGTTTAAAAGCGTATGTATTGAATAAGCTTGATCTTTGATAATGATAAGAGTAGTTCCTCCTTCAATGAAAGGGATTTTTCTTCTCTTTTGCAGTGATTTTGCTCATAAACTGTCCATGGCATTGATATCAAACACAAACACTGCTCTTCATACACTTGACCTTTCTAATAATATGATTGAAGACAAAGGTAAGTTTAAATGCCATTATATATTTTAACATTCACAGTTGATTTCGTCAATTTTCTGCAAATTATTATACCGATCTAATTTTTTTAAGTGCATATTAGTCAAACTTTCTTTTTCACTTCCATTTTCCTGTTTCTAGCACTATTGTAGTTAGTTTTTGGTTTATCAACATCCTCACTCTCACTGACTTGATGTCATCAGTAATATTTTTTCTAAAGCATGAAATGGTTACATTGTTTTTTGTAACAATTGTAAGCTTTTACTATTTATTGTGCACTTGTATTTCTCATAGGTATCAACAGTTTATGCGGACTCGTAGCCAAACTAGCACCAGGTGTGGTTTTGTTTTATGATTTGGTTGCATGCGCATTCGGATCACAGGCATTTGCATGCAGGGAAAGCAGAAAGCATTCTTCTTTTGTTTTTTTATGACTTAGGAACTCTCTTCTAGTTAATGTTTTTAATCTTTGTCTTTCTATCCTCCTCTATCATTGCATGGACTATCTCAAACAATGTTTTTGAAATCTGATCGAATTCTACCCTCTGCTCTAACATATATCTTATTCACCCTTTCTCTTTATTGTTTTTCCTACCTGATGATTGTGATTAATTTCTATTGATTAACATTTCATTCAAATTGTGTATGTGTCATAATTACATGTGATTACGATTTTTCTATTCAGGTGCATCTCATTTAAGTGGTCCTCTGGCTAAAGTTCCCAAAGGTCTTGTCCATTTAAATCTTTCGAGCTGTGGACTTACATCAAAGGGTATTAACCAGCTTGCAAATGCTTTAGCAGTGAACAAATTCATGCCCAACACTCTGACTTACCTAAATCTGTCGAATAACAGCTTAAAGGAAGACGTCACTGTAAGTTGGCATTGGATGTCTATTTTCATTGAAAAATAGAGCTCTGGAAATTCTTAAATTTATAGATGTTGTAATTTACAGAGTCTATGCAATTTTTTGGCTCAGCCAAATGTTATTAAGCACCTAGATATTTCAAAAACCGAAGTTACCCTTGAAGCAGTAAGTACATACAAGCTTGCAAATGTAAACCATAGTTTTTGAGACAAAATTTTTGTTTTCTTATTTTTATACAAATGTAAGATTTCTCAAGAAATTTTTCTGTTATCTTAGATTTTTGGTGCACTTTTGAGAGGGTGTTCTACAAATCTTGTTCACTTGAATGTCTCCCACAACTTGTTTTCAACTAAGAAGCACAAGGAAGTACCACTCTCCTTTAAACAGTTCTTTACTAGTACTCTAATGTTAAAGTATCTTAACATGAGTTATTGTAAACTCCCTCTGGAAGCTTTGAAGTGAGTATCTGAGTATCTGAATGAAATTTTTTGCTAGTACACACAGGGTTTACTGCAATTTTAAGAACCATACTTATATTACTTATCTCACTTTTCTAGGAACCTGCTTTTGGGATTGGCTTGCAATGAGACAACATCTGATATGGAGCTAGACATGAGTTGTAATAATTTAGGAACTCAAGGAGCCCATGTCTTTGAATCTTGTATTCATGGTGTTCGGTGTATTGGTAGTCTGGATATTAGTGACAACAGTTAGTAGCAAGATTTTATGTGTTTTTTTTTTTTATTGATGTTAAATATTTGTATTCTGTTTTACTATAAAGTTATTTTTTATGTTTAGATATGGATGTTGACTTAGCTGGGGTGGTAACAGCAATCAGCAAAAACAAGTCCATCAAGCATCTCAACATTGGTCGCAATATGGCAAATATGAAAGCAAAGCATATTGTGACAGTAATGGAAGCAGTTGTGCAAATGCTGCAAGAAGAAGACTGTGTTCTTCAGACACTAAATATTTCTGATTCAAAGCTGAAATCAGATCTTTTTAATTTAATTAATGCTCTGGGCAGTAATCAATGTCTGCAATCAATTGATATAAGGTTGGTACCTCATCAGTTCTTTCAATTTTATTTTTAAAATATTTTGGATCTAATTTTGCTTTTCCCCCATTGTTTTTGCAGTGGAAATATGATGGGTGATGGAGGTGCCCGCCTACTGGCAAAAGCTCTACAAATCAACTGTCGGTTGCGGAGCATTCAATATGATCGTAACAATATTACTCTTCCTGGCTATTGTGACTTAGCCTATGCCTTAGAAAGGTAATACTCTGTCTTTCACAGCTCTCTGACAACCATTCATGTGTGCTTCTATCTATCTAATGTGTAGATTAAGATTAGTAAATTTTAACCCTGCACCATCTGGTATTTAAATGTACCATATTCACCTGAAGATGTGACCCTCTTTTCTCCTTGGAAATTCTGAAGTTTTTATATGCCCAAGTGACTTTTCCCTCAAGTAGAGGGATCCTCTAGGTGGTGGGATCTTACAATCAGGTGTATACATTGTGCCTTTTCTTCCTGCAGTAACTACACAGTCAGGTACATGCCAGTACCTTTGATGGATTTGTTGCCTTGCATGAAAGTCTCTGCAGAACGGACTGATGCTGTTATGAAACGAATTCAAGACATTGTTCACAGAAATGTATCTCCTAAAAAGTACAGCAATGGGCAAGCATTTAGACTGCAACAGGTAAATTCAAATGGTATTAAAATTACTGAATTTAGGAGTATTTATTCGAACTGAGAGTGAAAAGCATATTATTCCTTTGCAACAGGGTTTCTTGTTAAGTTCAACTCAACAGATGGTCGATCGATTAGTTGTGCAGACCCAAGAAACCATCAAAGTTCTTGCTCAAAGTGAGGATTCTGCTCTTAACAACAATCATATTAACCATGCCACTGGACTTATCCAAGATGCTGATAATTCTAAACAGGTTTGTGTTTATTAGGGAAACTGATTTCTTAGAGCTCAATTATTATTTGGAGTCTGTACTGATCTCTCTAAATTATTGCAGTTGTTGCCTCGTTTACAAGAGGTTGTTCAGAGGCGACATGACATCAACAATCCTATTGACAAGAAGTTGCGCAGTATTTCAGAGGATTTACATACTACTATAGTTGACCATCTGCAGGTATGCTGACATAAATGCCGTCTTTTGATTTTCCTATGATGCCATTTTTGTTCGATATCTTACAGAGCCTTCCCTTAATTTTCAGGGTACCCTCGAAGCTATGATGCGATGTGCCAATGAACAGTGTCCCACAGTTCTAGATGAAGACAGAGTTCAGACTGAAATTCGGAAAACATGCAGGGAAAAAAATCAACTTGCTTCAGATTTTGTGCAGACCTGTGTAATGGAACAAGCTGGAACTGATATTATAAACAGGGTCAAGTATGTATTGAATACTCTTTCTGTTGTTTTTCTGAAGGATTTATTATCTGTATTCTAATGTTTCTATTATGGTGGATCTGTGTGCCATTTCTTTTTAGCGAGTTAAATTTGGCAGCCGCTGCTCACATGTCAGATCGAATAACTGATGAAGTGATTGAATCTTTATCACGGTGCTACAAGAACTTGGTAAGACAGCAACTAATTGTATTATTGACAACCTGTTCTTTTGATTAAAGGCAATTTAAAAGTCAATCCCTATGCTCTGGCTCATTTTAGGCTGGAGATAATGGAGGCAGGAAGCGTGCTTCAACTCCAGATGTTCTCAGAACTCGGTGCCATGTGAGCTCTGATTCCTCTCGACAAGACCTTGCAGAGGTTTTCCTGGATTCTCTCTCACCGTCTCTGGATGAGTCACCTCTGGTATGTTTTCAAAATTACCCTATGTCTACTTTTCCCTTTGCTTTCCCATTTTTGCATTTGTGAGGATATTTCAGATTTCATCATCCTCCAACCTGTCTTTCTACCTAAGGCCAATTGCCCTATGATGTGTTCTACTTAAAAAAGGAAAAGATATTCAAGTGTATAGAATTACACTTTCTTTAACTTGTCACTTAAAAACTGCCTTTACCTGCGTATTCATCTGGCTTTCTAGGTTGTCCAGGGAGAGACCTGGGCGAGCAGGGTTTCCACTCGGCTTCAGAATTGTTGACGGCACACCCCTATTGGTCCCAATCAATCAAACTAATCAATTTCTACAAACTTTGTAGCTGTCTGTAAATATCGAATATCAAATTTTAGGTGTCAAACAAGTGTGTCAGGGCCGCTCCCCAATTTAATTCTGTTACGCTGTGCAAACATGATAAAAAAGTATTCTGCCGTTTGTTACTTTTACTAATTTTCCATGTTTGTTTTCTTTACTCGTCTCTCACCATGTTCACTAGAAGTTGGAATATTTGAATCTTGTAAGTATGGAGGTCTAGATTGTTCTTGCCTGAATAGCATCTTTAGTTGTGGTAACATTGTTATAATTTTTGGGTGTTTGGACTGTTTCTTGATTGCATGATGTTCTTCTCTGTCATGTGAAACCAGAGTTTAGATGTAGAAGTAGTAGAAAGTAGGTGTATTGCTTTGAAAGTAAGATTGTTGATCTAATAATGGCATGAGACTAAGATTGTGGGTACAAAGTAGGCTTCTAGTTACTTTTTTAGGACCACCAATCATCAATTTTCTTACCAACTGCATTGTTTTTTTGGTTTTTGTTTTAGCATTGGCTTCGTATTTTAGTGTCTTTTTGTAGAGTGTGACTATCTTTTATGTATCACATAGTTGTCTATGATTTTCAGGACGTAGAAATCACATGCTGTGTGTACTTGTAGTATGTCTACTAATTCAGTGCATAACTAACAGATATTGTATGTTGATAGTTTTATAATTGAAGTTTTGAATTCTTGATTACCACACACTTACCTTTCAGCATGTATTTCTTGTTGTTACTTTTCTAATTTGCCATCAGCTACATAATAAAGACTAATTGGTTGAATCTGATTAGCAAAACTGGGTGATTTTAACAAATATCTGGTTACTTATCCTATACATAACAGCTGAATATGAATTTTTGCGCAGATTTGCTCAATCTGTCAAAATTACTGTGTTACTTTTAACACTTCATGCATGTGTTAATTAAATTACTTTTGTATAGTGTTTTATGTTTATGTACTGTTTGACCTCGCTATCTATTACAATTAATTATTGTGCATACCTCAGTTTTGATATCTACCATGTTGAGCAGAAATTAATTTTCATGGGCTCTTTACAAACTCTCTCTTTCTGTATTACAGGCCACACCACACCTGATGAACAAACGCAAGAGTCTTCATGGCCGCAAGCTGCGCCCCAAGTCTGTAGTTGACAGTGTTGATGGGCTATCAGCAGACCACATCCCAGATCTTCTTCCATCGCTTAAAAGTTCTGAAGGTGAGTTCTGTAAAATCTGTACATATTTTATATTTAAAAAAATAAATTCTTCTGTTTTTTAGTTTTATTTCTTGCTATGCTTGTTTACTAATGTGGTTGTAGCTTCTTCCTATGCTACAGAGTCCTCAGACTCAGTTTCTGAGCTCCCTAAATCAGTCGGTCAACAACTACAGCACCTCGTGAAAGGGCGACCACGCCGAGCCAAAACTAGGGCTCCTACAAGGCCCATGTTAAGACCAGCTGATTCAACTGATACTTCTGACCTTGGTGAAGGACTTGATACATTCTTCCGACCGGGTTCAGTTACCCCTACCACACCCCTTGTATCACCTACATCTGATGATAGCAGGTACATACTTATTTTGATGGTGGTGATCTCTGATGGGGACATTGTCTTCTTTAAATCACTTTCATAAGTAATTATTTTCATTAATATTTCTTTATCTTATTCGGATAGCTCAACATTCCCCATTGAAAGTGAACCCGAGTCCATTGACAGTGACAGAGAGCGTAGAAATGGAGGTTTAAGTGTTTTAAAGGACAAGTCTATCAAAAGGTACTATATTTACCTTTTAGAACTAAAAGTTTTCTGTAAACATGTCTTCCAAGTCTATCTGACAATTTTCTTTTATGTAGCTCGCCATTAATGAAAGGAAAGACTAGTTTACTGGATACAGTATCTCGATCACCTGACCTTCTAGATAAGAACTCGCCCTTAGCAGGAAGACGACCACCTACTGCTGAATCTCCTCTAGTGAAGAGAGGTCAAGATTCATCAGGAAATGATCCTTGTGCGTATAATTAACAAAAATCATTTATGTTTAACTGACCGTTAAATACTGATTGCTATGCAATTTCTTTCTAGCCAAAACAGATGTTCTAAAGACTTCAAAGCCTTTGGTTGTTGATGTGAAATCCCGACTAAAACCTGTAAGTTTATTTCCTGTTCATTATTTTGTTAAGTGTTTGGTGGTGTGTTTTAACTAACTTGCAATTTTCTTATGTTTGTTTAGGATGAAACTGTGGCGGATAAGCCAGCCTCTCCTACTGCTGTGCCTTCTGTGAGGTTACGTTCTACTGGCTTGGCAGACTCATTGCGTTCACCTACCAATGGCTTTCCGAAAACTGGTGCGGGTGTTGGGTCGATTTCCATTGAAACAGCACCTAAGTCTCCAATTCTTAAATCTATATCCAAAGATGGAAAAAATGATTCTGGTGATTACTAAACCCTCATACTTTAAATTGACACTGAGTCATTTAACTCCTTGTCAATATTAATTAGTTTTCTTCTTCTTCACAGGATCTAAAGTTAAGGCCCCACCACCAATTGCTCCAAAACCAAGACCTTGGTCTATGGGAGGTGATAGAAAATCAGGTAACTTGCACATGTTATAAATATACCTTTCTACAATGTTTCACAGGAACATTTGTGATTCTTTGAGAGCTTTTAGTTTTTATTGACATACTTCTTGATTATTTTCAGGTGAATTTTCTGCTCCAAGTGATGGATCTAGTCCAAACACATCGGCTGCAAATACTCCAGATTCAGGAGATGCCCTTGATGAGTCAACTGACTCAGGACTCAGCTCAGGTATGTTCTTTCCTCTATGCCTACTTATTCCTTATTCCTGTTAAATAGGGATTAATCACTTGATTATCTAGCAGGTACTAGTGGTGCTGCATCAAGTCTTGAAAAGAAATCTGTCCGAGAACTTGCTGCCTCTCTGAATAAGGTAGAACCTGATGCAAAAAGGAAGACAGAATCAGGTATGTCTTATTCATTTAACAAATATACCTCATAAAATTTGCCCAAATAACCATATTATGAATGAAATCTTAAGTACTTGGTTCCAGTAGTATTGGTTGAGCTTTGTTGTAAGGCACAGCATAGTTTTAGTTTGGAGGTGTAGTCGTACTGCTTGTTATACACAATACAAATTTCTTCATGTAGATAGATAGTATTTTCATTTAATTGCTTGCTGAAATGTTTTCTGGAGGATATTTATTGATCCTGTAGTTTCTATCAAAAGTGAAAGGCGTTGGACTTTTTAACCAATCTATAAATGTTTTGCTTAGTAGTAGATCTTTATCACTCTGTGTATTATGCATGTTTTCCACAGATGTAGCAAATGTGCTTGGAGTTGAGGTTGGCAGTTGTAGTGGAGGAAGCAGTCCGCAGCCATTTCAGAGATCACTTTTGCGGAGGAGTCTGGGTAGACTGCCTCCAGTTCATTCTGAGGTATTGTTTATGTACTTGCTTTGCATCTTTCAGCCTGGTATTGTGTTCTAACATCACTACAATCACATATGCTTTCTTCCTCTTTTTAAATTATGATTTTAATTCAATCAGTTTTAATTTACTGCTTCACATGGTCCATATTTTACACATATTTGAAGAAATGAAAACTGCAAGGAAAAGCACTCATTGTTGATTTTATTTGCAGGGGAGCTCAGCTGAAAGCGTTCTGTCAAGCTGGAAAAATCGTGCCAAACTTCGGACTGCATTTGAGACTGAGCCTGGTGTGGATGATGTGGTTGATGTTTAGCCATTGGCAGCAAAGTCTACGTTAATCTCATTCTGTTATTGCTCTTTAGCAAGTTGTTAAACATAAATTTTATTCGTAAAATTAAAAAAAAAAAGAAAAAAAAAGAATGCCATTATGCCATTGCTGTTGACTTTTGAGGATTTTGACTTGTAACTTGTAGGGAATGTGTGTGCGTGTGTGTGTGTGTGATAGAGGGTGTGTGTGTGTGCGTGTGTGTGCTGATGAGCGTATGTCCATATGCCTGTGTATGTGTGGTTCTGTGAAAGTCCTGAGAAGGATATATAGATGTAATTGATTGTATGTACAAGGACTAGTCTGGGGCTGTGTGTTGTCAGCGTAGCAGATTTTATTGGCTGTCTTACGCTCTGTGAATATTTGCCTCGGCAGTGATAGATGATACTTTATATCCATGTAACTATGCTTTTTTTTATCATTCATTGTTGCAGTATTCTTATATGTTTTCATTGCTGTTTCTGTTTCTGCATTTTTGCCTTCAGGTTCACTCCGGTCATTTAATTTTAGTCCCAGTTACCATAATCACCTATCCATTCCATACAGTTCTCAATCAATAGAAGTTTGAATCTTACATAATTTTCATAAAACAACTTTACAGTGAAAATTACTTTACTCTATTACTTACTTGTAGAGAAGAAAATAATGACAACCTATACTCCCAGTTTGGTGTGATTAAGAAAATGCACACCTGTTACTGTAATTAATTCTGTAGTCTTATGGTGCTCAACTCCTATTTCTTGCAAATGTCATTCCCATCTACTTAGACGTTGTTATTGGCTTAAATATTTGGAGATCATTTGAAATTTCTTATTTCGTACTCATACAATCATTATGCATCTATTTAAAGTTTATCCTAGAAGTTGTTTAATATTTGTTCTTCAAACAAAAATCAAACTTCTGTCTTCAAATGTTCTCATTATTTGGATTCTTTATGATACTTAAAAGATATAATTATATTTAGTTTATAAAATGGTAATTTGCACAAAAAACTTAAGAGGAACTCCATGATTACAATCAATTATCACCAAAAATCACTGCCATCAAGCATAACAGTCAGTTATATCTTCAGATTGTGTTAGTCTTTCGTAAAAAGTTAATTCTGTATTGTAAATCATGAGATACATACTGTATTTACTAGAAATTTTAAAATTATGGCATGTGACCTTGTAAGTTTGTATTTAGTGAGATTTCAGTCGTGACTTGGCATTTAGCCTGTGATGATTGGTTGCTCATTGTCACTACCACTATGTTGAGAATTGAGTAAATCATGATTATCTGCTGTAATATTTAGATATTTTTATTTAATCAAATTTATATCTGGAATTTATTGGAGATTTTTGGAACTAGCAATAATGACACCAGAAGGTATTGGTCTTCTTGAAGTATGGATCAAAATTTTCAGAAATGATTGGAGATAGTGTATTATTAATAATGGGACAATCTCAATTATGATCACCCTAGTAAAACGTAAAAGTTTCAAATCACATTAATTCTCAAAGTATTTCTGCACTTCTACCATATTATATATAAAGATATAAAGACCTCACTAATTCATTTACAATATTGAGTAGTCATTCAACCCTTTTGTGATGATACTGGTGTTGTATTCCTGATTGCCCAAGCTCCTTCGTCATTTTGTTCTTGTGAAGCGACTTTAGGAAGACTTGCAAGCTTCAAGTTTTGGCTCACTGTAGACCCTCTTTTCTGGTTCTGTGAAAAGCATGTTTCTTCACATTGCACTGATTTCTGTGTGATTTGTTTCAATTGAGGGGTAGTTGTAGTTCCCATTTCTTTCCAAGGAATGTTGAAGTACTCATTCATGCCCACATTCTCTAAGACTGGTTTCCCATTAAGTCATGGGTTTTGTTTGTTAAGTGAAATTTGCTGTGTATCGGAGATTGCTAATATCTCATTAGCGAAGCCAGATTGGAAATTATTGTGCCAAAGAATTAGATAATGTGGCCAATACATAACTGATTACTATTCAGTCTTTATAATTTATCAACCTTAAATGAACATTGCAGTAGCTTGTAGGTTGATCAGTATATGTATGTAATATTTTGGAAAAGATGAAGATGAGTACTTAACATGAGAGTCAATACCGTTCATTTAGTGGATTATCTGGGATGCTTTTAAGAGTTGTTGGTTGCCAAAGCTTTCTGTTAACCATATTCCTATGTCTGCGGAATCTAGTCCGCTTTTCCTGCAGTCCATTCCACATTATTAAGATTTCTTTCTCTATGAATAATTTTTTATCTATCTTCTCTTTTAAACTGTATATTTTACTTGTGGACTGTGATTACCTACCATTTCCATTACTTCTGTTCAACAAATATTACTGTTAGCCATCTTACCTTTTACAACTACCATTGCCATTGTATGATAAGGTACTGCTATTGTGTTTATAAAGTTGGGCTCAAACACTTCTAAATTAATGTAGCTCTCACTCAATATATAGGCCTAGTACAGTACTTTGTTATTGTATACCTCTGTGATTTCTAGTTGAAAGTATAGCGCTTGTAAGAGTACAAGGAGAGCAGTCTGTAGGAACTATTTTACTCCATTGATAACTGATATGTCAGTAGATAAAACTTTTTCCTACTTCAGCAAGGACTTAAGTTGCATAATTTGTACCTACATGTTTCCAACTTTGCGTTGCACAACTTATGCCTTGTGACGTGTGTAGACTGGACTTATGCTTCTTTTGCATAAATTCATTGACTTTTTATTCACCGGTGACCTTTCAGGTGTTTGTCTTTGTCACTTAAGAAAGCATAATCGTGAACCATTACCTATTTGTAGTTTGCCATTTAAATTAAGTTTCTTTTAAGGTGTTTATTTTGGTTATTTTGGATTGAAAGTGAAGTTATTATGTTTGGTTTGCAATGGCTTATACTGTGTGCCAAATAATGTCATTTCTTCATGCTTGCCATCACAGTAACTTGTACACCCATGAATAGACTTGATTCTGCTAAACCAAGTTTCTCATGTAACACAAGTTCCTGCAATACTAAAACTTCCATATTTTTTTAATGACTTATAGGCATTTTTGTTTGTTATATTGCTGTTCCTGTTGTTTCTATTTCCCCCCTTTTTCTCATTTGCAAAAGGTTTTTATTTGCAAGAAAACTACGTATGAACAGCTTGTCTGTTACTTCCTTTGTAGGCTACATTGCGTTTTATTTCTGAAGCTGTGCAGTGTCTTTCTGGACAGAAAAAATCATGTTTTGGAAATAATAAATTGTAAGAGCATACTTAATTATTGTGAAGCACTCCCTCTCCATGATCCCCAGAAATCGTTGGTTGTTGAGGCCAGCTTTCTTCGTTGAACTTCCCCAAAGTGCGGCCACAACAGCGGCTTCTCGAGGTACAAATGTCGTGGGTACGCTGTTATTCTCTCGAGGAGTCTGCCACAGCGTCGATGTAGCGACCGCACACTGCCTCCCAATGCTCGGGGCGGCCGCTGACCAGACACCAGTCGAGCTGACCCTCGCCTGGCTGCTGCTGCTGCTGCTGCTGCTGTAGCTGTTGTTGCTGCTGCTGCAACTTACGAGCGTGCTCCTCGCAGTCCTCGAGGGTGGCCTCACCGCTGGAGAGGCGGGCGCCGAACCCGCTGTGGAAGCTGAGGTACCGTTGCTGCGAACCACATAGCCGGTGAGTCAGGATTGAACGATTGAACGCCCCCCGGCAGGCAGGTCCGGTGCACTTCCGCTGCCCACCGGCCTAGCGCGGCTCATAGTCAGCGGCCACTCACCTGCAGGTTCCTGCTGAAGGCGCCGTCTGCGACGAGCTTTACCGCGGCCCGCAGTGCCTTAGCGTAGCAGTCGATGACGGCCACGTACGCCCCCACCAGGTCGCGTGCGTCCAGGGCCTCTCTCCGCATGGGCACGCCGATGAGGAGTCCTCCAGGCTGCACCCCGCCCTGTCAAGATAAGTGCGCACGATCTCACCTCATATGCTGTTGCCTTTTTAAAGATGGGCCGGTCATTCTAATCCGTCCTCACCTGTTCCAAAACGCTCTTCATGACAACCGTGGCTTCGCGCACGTCCGGGGGGAAGTCGTGGGCGGTCGCGTTGAGGCAGCCCAGCATGCCGTAGCTGCCAACATGGCCAGGGCCAGAAGCAAAGACCTGGTTGTCAGTGACGCGTTCCAACCCAGAGGCGGCAGTGGCCTTGCAGAAGGGACTCACGCCGAGCTGACGACCACCTGGTGGCCGGGCGGCGTGCTGAGCTTGAAGTGCCGGTCCAGGCCGAACTGGCGCAGCAGGCCCACGGCGGAGGCCGCGCAGTCGTCGTAGCGCCGCACGGAGGGTCGCGCGGCCTGGCCCTGGGCTCCGCAGGGCAGGTGGGTCGTCTCCAGGAGCAGCTGGCCGCGGTAACCCAGCCGGTCGCGGTGCTCTACAAGATGGTCATCGCTATGAGCATGGCTGTAATCCGCCGCGACCCCGCCCTGGGTGACCCCCTGACCCTGGTGACCCTACCGGCCGTCATCCTCAGCAGGCGCGCGTAGCCCCGCAGCTCCCTCGCCGGGTCCGTGTTGAGAGGCGAGGCGTAGCCGTCCCTGCCGCCCCAGAACAGGAAGCACTCTGCCGACAGCCGCTGGGCGGCCTGCAGCGCGCGCCGCACCTGCGTCCCCGCCACGGCGAGCACCCCCGCGTCCGGGGCCGTGCCCGCGCCCTGGCAGTAGCGCGGGTGCGAGTGCAGGTCCGCGCCCAGCCACAGGGGCTTGATGGGGCCCGCGGCCGCGCCGTGCGCCCGCTGCTGCTGCTGCTGCTGCTGCTGGAGCTCCAGGCACAGGTCCACCGACTCGTCCAGGTTGCGCTGCGTCTCCTCGAGAGAGTCGCCCTCCGGCGCCAGGTCTCGGTCCCACGCGGCCCAGAGCCTGATGCCTGTGCATAGCGTCGGATATGGGGGTAAGGTACTGGTAGGTGCCAAAGCTGTTAACAAGTGTGTCGCCGGGTACCGACCAAGCTTATTGCAGAGTTCGAACGCGGCGCGAATGCGGCGGTGGTAGTTGTCCAGAGAGTTGGTGCCGTCATCCCAGGGCCGCTGCGGGCGCTGCTGCACGCCAGGTGGCTGCCCGTACGCCTCGGAGCCTGGCGCGCCACAGGACACAGGTGAGTGGCGGACAAACCCTTCTGTACACGACAGTAATCAGCAGCTAGAGGGCCATACCCGCGCTCCGCAGGGCGTGGCCGAAGGACAGCGCGGGCCGCAGCCACTCCTCCATGGTGCGGCCGTGGCAGCGCTCGCCGGGGTTGTAGTAGCGGTAGCAGAGCGCCTCCTCCGGGCCCGCGTCCGGCCTGTACTCTATGCGGGGCACCCCTGTCGAACAGGCAGAGCCGAGCGTCGGTCAAGCTCAACGTGGTGGCCGAGTGAGTATGTGGGACTTCCCCGCGGGCGGGGTACGTACCGGAGAAGTATTCGGAAACGTCCGCCTTGGCAGACGAGGGCGCTGATGTGGCCACCCTCTGCCTCTTGGCGGCCACGGCCGCGGCCAGCTGCTGCTGCTGGGAGCTCAACTTGCTCATGGCTGGAGATAGGACAGTCGCTCGTTCGACGAAACGTCAACAAGAGGTGTCCGAAAGACTGCTGTTCTCAGCTCCCGGCAGCCTGTATCGTGTCGTTGGTCCGTTGGACTGAGGGCCCACCCTGGAGCGAGGCCTATTTCACAGCTCGGTCTGTGCAGTTCACGGTCCCGTGGTGCTCCGCCGCTCCGCGACCCGGGTAGAGCCCCGAGCCACCTGATACCGCCCCAACGCGGGGGGCCGTGTCGTTAACAAAGGGGACCAGGAAGTCTGTACACGTGAGTTCGGGGAGTGCACAGCGGAAGGTGTGGGGCGAGAAGGGCATCTCTGGGCCGCCGCTCACTGGGTCTGAAACGCGACACGTGCTGTCCGTTCCGCTAGTTGTGCATGGTGTTCAACTCAAAAGTTCTGGCTCGGGTTATAGAGGCAAATGAGCGCAGGGGGAGGGAAAGGTAGATTGAAATTGAACCATTATGTACGTTTGATTGAAGTTTAATGTGATTATTGAAAGAAGAACAAACACAAATATAAATCTCACAACTGTTCACTCAGAAAAGTCAACTAAATTTGACACATGACCTGCATGCAGTCAAGATTTTAAAAAGAAATATTTCATTTAATAGTTTTGGTAACTGAACCAAACAGAGTACATTATCTTGAACAATCACAACTCTGACCTTTTAGTAGTCTGACTCTGAGACATAGTCCACAACAGGCGAATCAATATTGTAAATCCAAGAACAAGGAGGGGTACAAGCATTGTCCTAGTAAATCTATTCCCCCTCAAAGTAATTGTATCGCTGTCTCCAGCTGCAGAGAAAGAGTTTTGCTTTTTCATACCATTGAGAATGGTACCATTATTTCGCAATCGAATAGTGCCATTCATGACAGCATACTGCTCTTCTTTTGATGTAGCTTCAACTGGTTCAGCAATCATACAGTGCTTTTGTGTTGCTATGATTTTAACCTTAATCATTTTCCCTAACATTTCAGTAGCTTGTGGAACAAGAACCTAGAAATTGATTGAATGTTAGACTTTTCTCATGCAGGGTGGCGTCTTGCCCCGTAGGAACGAATGGGTAATGGGTACACTAGCCAGCAAGAAGTCGTGCGGCCGGGTTTGTCTATTAAATCTTACCACAGCGCGTTAGGACCCTATGCAAATAGGCAACCCGGCCGCACTTATGGATCAGGCTGGTGCCCATTCGCTACAACGGGGCAGAACAATCGACCAGCATATACAACTTTAAAGGACAATATGTAGACAGCTCAACATACCTGTTCATAAAATTTATTGTGGCCAACATAGTGCTTTTTGTCATGTGATATTTCAGTCACCAAAATATCTTGAATTTCACCCAACTTATGGGTGTAAGGCTCATAAGACTGAAATAATTCAGACAACCTCTTTGTTCTTTTTTTCACCTGAAGATTCAAGTAATGTTATTTATCAGGTTCGAGTCTCAAAGCAGAATCAGGTCAGAGCAAGACTCAAAACATAGTATGGAGAACTAGAAAAAATAAACTGTACCTCTTGTGTTGTAGCTGCTCTGATCATTTTAGCAGCAGGAGTTCCTGGCCTGGGGAAAAATTGATTGATGAACAGACTAGGAAATTTATGTTTTGCACACAATGATACAGTGTCTTCAAAATCTGTCTCAGTTTCGGTAGGGAAACCACAAATAATATCTGTTGCAATTGTCATACCAGGGACCCTGAAAACAAGATAAGTTTATTTATAATTAATACATTAATTTATGCAGTTGGCAGGTATACTTTTTGTGTTTAATAGGACCAAAACTCTTCATCCTTACCTTTCCTTCAAATAATCAACAACATTTTCAAAATCCTTTCGACAGTATTCTCTTTTCATATCTGTTAACACAGCATCTGACCCAGACTGCACTGGAACATGGAGGAAGCTGTACACTTTGGGATGAGCTAATATGTTGGCCATTTCCTAAAAACAATTTAAAAAATGTTGTTATAATTTAAACAGCTGTGTTGCAATTATAGACGCAGACACAGACAGACAGACATAAAAGCAAACACACAGAAAAAATAGATAAACGGTTAGGGGTATAGCTGACCTCCAGATGCTCCAAAATATAGGGGGGATTGGTCATTCCAATGCGTAACATGCAACCTTCTGGAATGACTTCCACAAGTTTCCACAGCAGCTCAGGAAGGCTTGTTCCAATATCTCTACCATATGTTCCAGTATCTTCAGAAGTTAGCCAAATCTCTTTCACTCCTTCAGAAAATGATTGAACTGCTCGTGCAACAATTTCATCTGAGACACACAAACATACTTTTCATAATGGCAATAGAAAAGAAATTTAATTCCACCATCTGAATAATAAGTAGGGTATTACCAGGGGGGTAGCTTCCTAGATCCCCACGAGCGTGTTTCGTTTTGCAGTAGGTGCACTGATTAAGGCAACCTGTGTTAATTGCAATTATCTCAATAAGGTCATTTCGACGAACCTTGGGCAGTTCCAGCGAGGCTCCACCCAACTTTTTACCTCCAGTTTTCTTTTGACCAAGAAATCTGACAGAATTACCTGCAAATTAATCAACACTAGTGTTAACAAGTTCGTCATTTCTTCTCACTCTTTCAAAAGTAGAGGTTGCTTACCTTTCAGTGTTTCCTCAACAACTTCTACCACTCTATCTATTTGCTGCACGCCAATCACACTTAAGCCTTGTAAGTACTCAGCCTTTGGGGCACCCTGAGGTACACATCCTGCCAAGACAATGTGCTTACCAAGACGCTTGGCATCAGCAATCTCATTTCGAAAATGATCCTCAGCAGGATTTTTAACAGTACAGCTGTTCAGCAACCACAAATGTGCCTCTTCCTTCTTATCTGTATGAATAGGTGATCAGTATTTTACAAGAATAATAATAGTAATTTCACTGTATTAAATTCGTTTTAGGTGCAGACCTGTTAGTTTGTAACCATATGCAGCCAGCTGTCCTGCCATATATTCACTATCAGAACCATTGTGGGTGCAACCCCATGTCTTCACATACACAGTTCCTGTTCCTGGAATTTCTGTGCTGGCAGATTCTTCATTGATACAATTTTCTGATGAAGCTTGGCCACCCTTACTGTCTTGATGTTTCTTTGGCCGAAAAGTTACAGCTCTTCGCGTACTGTAACGCTCTTTGGGGGTAATGTCCTGAGATGATATCAAATCTTCAATATCATCAATAATTTCGTTACAAATTCCAGGCATCTGAAATCGAAATAACAAATATAATGATGAATGGTAATTGTTGTTTAAATGTTTGAAAATCAAGCCGATAAAATTCAAACATTGAAGAAAAACAGCAACAAATTAAAGTACATGTAAGTTATTTAAATGTCACTTTTGATAATTGATAAAACGTATATGTAGTACTCACTGTGGCTATGGAAGGACTCTGTCGAGATTCAAATAATTTAATTTATTTCGTAGAACTGTAACAGTCAATCAGACACAATACCTCGTAAAGCTACCAAAATTCAAAATTAATTGTTCGTAAAACAATAAGAAGCGAAATCTTGATTGAGTTGTTATTGTTGGTTGCGTGCAGCACATCTAAATTAAGTCAGCATGCAACAAGGACTTACAGGTTATGTTGACACATTTATCAGAAACGTACTATATTTTTCATCTCATGTCGGTAGGTAGAATGTGAATGTGGCGCCGCTTGCCGCTGCTCTGACGTCAGAGCACTACAAAATTCTGCAAATGAACTATCCAGGAGAGAGCGAGTTCTGCCAACCACGCGTGTGCAAAATGAAATTGGCAAACACAAATATTATTTTTCACTTAAGTAATTCAGTAGTATTGCCTATGGCTTTTATACCAGTAAGTACAGTAAAGCCTATTTTGTTTGTTTACAAGTACTTCTATCCTCACCCATCGGGCTCAATTTCATAGGATAAAATGGCACTTCAGCGTTCGCAAAACGTGTTTTTTTTCTCTACTTTCCTTTTTGCACAAGCAAAACCTGGCGAACTAAGCGAATGTTTGGCAAAAATGTGCGAAATTTCTAGTTATTATGCTGGAAATGACGAGTGAACTCTTAAGTGATTGTTTGCTAGAAAAAAACCTACACGTCTAGTTTGATTCTACGGTCTGAGTGAGTGATTATTATCATTTTAGTAGAAGTTTGCGAAGATAGTGAATTCGGCTTGGGCCCCGTAGGCCTAGAGTAGTTGTGTACGTGCAAAGTTTTCGCGTTGGCCATTTAAATAGGTTAAAAGCCGAACGCAAATTTCGAGCTCCCGGCGTTACATTTACTCACGCCACCTGGCTGAGATCATGCCGGCTAGCTTGCCGGCTCCCCTATGTCAACCTAATCACTCTATTCTTTGAAATAATTGCGGAATAGTTGAATTGACCTACGGATGAACCCAAACATGACCTTACCGTGTTCTACATATAACCTATTAGTTCATTGAACTTCATTGCCAAGTTGAATTGCTTAGATGTATTCCTAACTGATCACATACCATTTAGTAATTCAATCTTTTGAGACATCTTGCACGGCTATTCAGAATACATATAGGAAGAATCTAACTCACCTAAAAATTACTATAGATAAATTTTATATTGTATTTAGTTACTTTTCCAAACTTTCCATTGAAATATTTTTTTTATTGCAAATAATCTTACAGCACTCTTTTTGTTTCTCAGTTATGGCTGCAGAGCAGTTTTGTCTACGATGGAACAACTTCCAGAGCAACATTGCCTCAGCTCTTGGAAGCTTAAAAGCTGAACAAGACCTGGTTGATGTTACCTTAACTTGTGGGGGCAAAAGTGTCAAGGCTCACAAAGTTATTTTATCAGCCTGTAGTCCGTACTTTCGATCAGTATTCAAGGTTTGTTTTTAAACACATCCAAAATTTTCAAATTTTAATTATTCTTGCAAACATGTCTTTGCCCACATATTACATTATTAAAATTATTCAAATTGTATGTTCACAGGAAAATCCATGCCAGCATCCTGTTGTCATTTTAAAAGATGTTAGATATGAAGATGTGCTGGCACTCCTAAGTTTTATGTACCAAGGGGAAGTTTTTATCACTCAAGATCAGTTGTCAACATTTTTAGAAACAGCAGAACTTCTTCAAGTCCGTGGTCTTACAGGTGCTTCCAGTCCAGTAAAGGAGCCTGTAAGTATTTTCATTTACAACATGTCCTCATCTCTAATTACGTATCTTAATTTTCTCTGTCTCATGATTTACTATGAAAATATTATAAAATCTATTTCTATGTTTTTCAGCCTCAGCAGAAGAGTGGTCAGAGTTCATCATTAGCACCCCCTCCTCTTAGCAATATTCAGAGGACTTTCTCCAAAGTAGCCACAATTACTCCCTCGCCAGGAGGAAGTCCAGTTAGCAGGGCTTCGTCACTAACATCCCACCAGTTAAAGCAAGCCTCTAACTCCTCCAAACGCCACATCCCCCCTCCTGCTCGTTCTACAAGTCCTGCCTCGGATTCTCTTGTAAACAAAGAGCATTTATCTGCGCCATCATCTCCCCAACATGTATCTAAAAGGCGCAAAGCTACTCCAAGAAGAGTCAGCACAAGTAGTTTGGCCTCTTCAGATGCTGGTATAGAAAATGCAAATTCTAATTCAAGTGGACCAGATCCATCCCGCATATCTGATGATAGTTTAGCTCTACTAGAAAATGTATCAGTAAATATATCTGAAGTTAAACCAGAACCACTTGATCCCACTAATGACTCAGGAGCTCTCGAGACTGACATGGATGATGATGGTGAAGTTTACAACGACAATGAAGAGGATGATAGAGATAATGATCATGGGGATGATAGCCGTAGCGGATTTTACATGGAAATGGATGAAAGCAATGAAGCTGGCACTTCAAGTCTATTGGCTCGATCACTTGCTGGAGTATCACCTCGCAGCACAGATGGTATGACAATTTTTCCTCTTTTTAAAATCGATCTTATGTATATGAAGCAGAAATAAATTTCAACCGATGTGTTCCTTTGGATCCTATAGGTGGTCTCTCAACAAACAATCAAGCTTCAGCAACTGATCTCACAGCTAGTGGTAAGTTTATATTTTCTTCTGTTCAACTCTAGTCCATGCTTTCATTAAATGGTTTGATGGTAAAAAGAAGGGGAAGTCAACGAGAAATGCTTCAAACTTGTCAGCTGCATGTGTGTATGATCGGAGTTGGGTGTTATTGGTGTTCTTTATTTTATCCCATAAATTCTTCACCTTTCTTTGGGTTATAAAGTAGTTCCTTGTTCTATTTTCTCTCTGCTGTTTGCTGTTTAAATGAGGTTTAATTTTATAGTACCCATTTGGGCTTACCAAGAACACCTTGTTTTTGTGTTGTTTTTTTTTTTTTTTTTTTCCTGTTTGGTTGGTTGGTTGGTTGGATGGTTGGTTGGTTTGTTGGTTTTGAGACATTTCCATGCTACATGTACCTGTAGACTTGCCACAAATAACTTCAGGAGGAATCAGAATTCCTTAACCAAGGAAGAGTTAATATTGTCATATTCAGAACAAATATGAACATTTTAACCTTGAAAAATGTGAGGCACATTTCCATCCTGATGCAGTCCAGAAAAGAATACTGAATTGATTAGGTCTTCCACAATTTGTTTGCTTGACAATTCTCGGTATGACTTTCTTATTTAAAATAAAGATAGTATACTTCAAGGGTTGGGATAAAGATAAAATTAAAGTGCAATTGTGCAATAATATGTTAAATCATCAGAAGGGGAAAAACAAATGATGAAGGGACATTTTTGGTGACTCATAATTCATGACAATGATGATCTTGTAGAAGTGAAGTTCTATGTATACTTGCTTTTTCATAACAATGATTTAAAAAGAAACTCTGAAGATTGCCATGGCTCATTCTCTATTTGTCCAGGTTGCTAAAACCATTAGATATTGTCTCATGCCTCATCATTTTCTTATAGACTCAACTGTTTAGTAGATCATTTGATTTGTTGTATCTTTAATTGTAGACTGGTAGTGCCTTTGATCATATTTAGGTTTCCTGTCTGTTTTTCAGACTAATGTCTTTTGATCATACAAAATTATGCTTTACATTTAAAAAAAAATGTGGATAATTATCGTTTAAATACATCAAACTTTATATCTGTTAAGCATTTTAAATTCAGTCTAGAATCGATGCAAAATCACATTATATAGAAAGTGTGAGTTATGTTAAGTCTTTGTGTTGCCGTCTCTCTTTTTTTTAACTCTGACGGATGCAGTTCTGTACGTGTGCTGTACCAAAGACTCCTAAAATGGAATTCACTTTCAGTCTGTGTTTTTACTGTTTACATTTAAAAATTGGATGTCTATTCATGTTAATGTCTTTTTTAGTTATTTTGTTTGTAGTACTGTAAAACTTCTGAAGTTTGATAAAATTGAAGTATGTTGAAAGAATCAACTCTCTAACATGCATGATCTGAGTAGCCCTTTTAGTACAACGGAAGATAATGATAGACCTTGTGCATGTATTTTTTTCTTGTAGTTAGGATGTACATCAAACCTCAAATTAAGGAAAGTAGACTTTGTGGAAGATTTTGAGTCGGTTGGTGTGGAATATGGCTGAGGTGAGTTGAGATTGTTTCAAAAATCAATCAATTGGCATGGGTGCTGATTTTTGAATTGTCCTCCTTACTCCTCAGATTAAAAAATTGAAAAAATTCATGCCTTACATGTTGATTTTTAATTTTACGTAATATTACACTGTATCAAAAATAAATAGTTTTCGACTTTGTCTTGTTCTTGCAGATGGGGGCAGGGAAGGTTATTTTAGTAATTGGAGTGGAGGAACTCTTCTCAACATGGAAAACTTCAATTTCCCTTTCCATAATGGAAACACTCTCGAGAACAGTAATGGACTTAACCGCAGGACAACCAGCAGTTGGTCGTGTATGCAGCCTCGCGCGTGTGCTCACTGTAACAGGACTTTCAGTAACAAGTTTAATTTAAAACAACATATTGAGAATGTGCATACACCAAGTCAGGCTCTTCCTTGTCATATTTGTAAGCGGTCATTTAAGAACAAGTGGTATCTACGGAAGCATAGTGTGACAGCTCATGGAGCACCTCTGCGGCGTATCAAGACATCAGGTGGTAAGATTGTTTATGTCAATGAAGCTACAAGTATCACTCCATTCTATCTAAATAATAAAGTAGATGTTTGAATGCATATCAGATATGGCATGATCTGACTGTATCAGATTTCAATGCTGTACATGTGGAGATCTTTTTTATTATTACTGTTCCTGTTGTAGGGACTTCAGGCCTCTACTTATCTACCGGTGATTAGATTTGTGAATGCTCAATTGTGTACCATAGGTCAACTGAAGTGTATGTATCGAAAAGATATCTTCATGGCTAACTGTATGTATTTATTTCAATGGTAGGTTTCAACTGAATAGTATTGTGTTGTTCCTATCTACCTATCAACTTTTGCTTGGTACAGCCAAAACCATATTTGACTGAACTTTCCTATCAAGTGTGACTTATTTATTCTATCTGTATACATACATATTTGATACATAGATCTAAGTCTATTGATTGATCTCATGTGTTTATGACTGTCCAAATACAACCATCAAGCTCTGATAAGGAAACCCTATCATTGTGCTTAATTGGTGTGACAAAAGACTGAACACATTATTTTAATACAATTCAGTATTTATTGTAAGATTATGGCAGTATTTAAAAAGTTACTCACATATTAGTTTGCATTTTTGTGCAAATGTGCTTTGCTCAATTTGAATGATTATGATATTTGTACTTTCGTAAGACTAAGAAAATACAGGCTGTGTGCAAATTTTTTTTTATATAGATAATAACTATAGTGTTAACTGTTAATCATTTAAAGTATTCTGGTATGTCTCAAAACCATATACAGTGGTTTAAGTATGATCTCACTCACTCTTATTTAACTTCTGGCTGACTTTATACCTTTAACTTCTTGTGTCTTAGCATGTCTTGAAAATTCCCTCTACTATGAATTCCATCCTTATTCTCATGTGTACTGATTTTTTTTATGGACCATAATAAATAATACAAAAAATGTATAATGGATTAGAAGTTGCCTTACTTACCTCATTGAAATTTGTTATCATTGCTACACTGCATTTCTGTCAACAACTAAACCTGTTATTTGTTTTTTATTAGTGAATATCTTGTGAAATGTCTCAAAATAGATTGCAAGAATAGTATCTATGGTACCTTGCTTAAATCTAACTTCAGGGCACACAATAGTTTTAGGAGTCACCCTAACCATCCTGTAGTCTTTGCTTCTTTACTATGCACTAGCCACTCTATGCACATATTCACTCAGCACTAACCTCCATACCTGCTTCTTGCATTCTACATTTATAACCAAGGGTGATTTGTGATTCTCCCCCAAGAAATTTAATTGAAGTGAAAGTGTACATGATAAGTGTCATTTTATGGTTTGTGGTACTACGCTGATGTTTTTTGAATGTATTGCATTAATATTTTGCTCTGTCTCTCTGTGCAGGTGAAGGATCAAAGGGGTCTTCTTTGCAGTGTGGAACTTGCCCTCATTGCGGGCAGAATTATTCTAACCTTTCTGCCCTGAAGTATCACGTGCGTTTAGTCCACTCTGATCTGACAAATCGTCTATGCTGCCACCTCTGTCCTCGTTCCTTTGTTCAACGGGAACAGTATCGTCAACATATGTGGGACAAACATGGTACACGCAATTAGAATTATCTAAACAGTTCTATACCTATTTATCTTGTCATCATTTTTTGTAAGTCATATGAGGTATTTTTCAATCATCTAGAGGTGAGTCTTCACTCATTAGTCATCAAGATGTTGGCTGTTTGTTTCATAAAAATTTTGGTTTAGTACTTTTTATTTTTATTTTTGTTATCTTAAAAAAATGTGTCTGGAAGATGCATACTTTGAGAAGTTGATTGCCCCATGGTATGTTTATAATCTAAGAGGTAGTCTGAGGCCACATTTCTCATAAATTGTTGCCAGAACTTTGGTCATTCTCACTATAGGCAAATATGTATCGTGGGAAAAGAAAAGGTTTTCAGCATTTGTTTTTTCCTCCATAGCAAGCATGTAGGTTTGCTTTTTTATGATATTGGTGTTAAAATTCCTATATCTTTCCAATATATTGAAGTGAAGGAATGTCTTTGGGTCACATATACATACATATTTTAAGCTATATATTGTGACCAAGATCTGGTAACAACTTTATTCTGTTCCCTTTTAATTTATTCTCTTTCTACTACTCCTAACTTAGTAATAATGTCTCGGCACCTTCTCTTGCCTTTTGCTGTCTTCGAGCAGGATTCAAAACTAGAACCAGGTGAAATACTTATATGTAGCACTTTGTGCTTTATAATAATGAATGGTGAATGTACTATCCAGATTTAGGGATATTTTCTGAGTCATTGAACAAACTTGATTGTGCTAGATAATCAATAGATATTTCCCTGTTTCTTCTTTTATGTAATGAGAAGGGTGCCATGTTTTTCAGAGTACATTTGTGTGTGCTCCTTTTCTTGTGATATGCTTGTAGGTGCAGATGTACAGATAGTATTACAGGGTTTATGGAAACCACTTTTGATGAGTGTTAACTGTTATTTATAATCTGTTATTTAAATGAATTTTATTTAAACAAAAGTTGTCTGAGGTAGATTAGTTATAGTATGATTGAAATTAATCTGGAAGTATCTATTGTGTGCACAATGAGATGTGGAAAATGTATCTTCTTTCTTTTCATTATCATTGATGTTTGGAAATTCGTACCTGAGGGAAGGTGGGGGGAGATTTAAGCACTTATTTAATGTTGATAGTCAAATCTAATTTATAATAGCCACTCACCCCTTTGATTCCACAGCCTTTCTGTATTCAAAAAACAATAGTTGGAATTTATCTTACTGATCGTAAAATTAATACAGTGCCTCCTGGATTGTGATACATGAAGGATTAACCAACAAATTCTTCTCCTTCTTGAGGTTTAAATACAATATGTATTGCATTAATGCTTCCTCTGTGGTAACCAAATTGTTCTGGTTGTGTAAACAGAAGGCCGAAGAATAAGGATGAACCTTACAACCATATGCTAGAAGTTCCGCTCTCTATAAGCGGTGTAAATCATGATTCAGTGGGCTGTTATGGATGATCTTATTTTTCAAAAGGAGATATGTTATTTAGGGTTGTTGTATTCAAACAGCTAAGATCCTGGATCTTTTGCATGTTTTAAAACTTCATTTAGTCTATTCTAGTTTTCTAAATTTTGTATTGTTTGTGTTTAGGTAGTCTTTTCTGTTGTAGTTTTTCTTAATTGTGCATTCAATTCAATTCAGATTGGCAGGCCCATCTTAAAAACTTATCTAACATCATTCTCATAATTGGATGATATTAGTGAAGTATTTTTGTCTAACTTGAAAAGCTGTGAATCATCTCTGTTATTGAAAGTCTTTTATTTTCTAAGCAAGTCGGCTAAGACTAACACTGTCAGTTTGTTTTGATGTTCAGGAACTAAATGGTTTATTGTGTTGTATTTTATCCTTGTTGCACATATTCTATTTTCTTAGTTTAGTTGCAATGCTAAATCAGTTGTACAAAGGTGTTCTGTACTGTGTGTAAAGTACTTTTAATAATCTGGGTGTTCCCTTTCTTTTTGGTTATGTTTGTGCATTCCAGAAGAAACATGTTATCTGTCCGTTCATTAAGGTTGTGTTAAGTTTTAGAATTGTTTGGTCGATCTATGTTGTGTATTGGAAGCATATTTGACAAAGATTCAAGTTTGTAATGCATGTACTTGTACTTGTGCTTTTAAAATTTTAACCAATTGCTGCAATTAAGTTTTTTTGTAGGAATTTGGTATACAGTCATCAACTTAAAATCAGGTTCAAATAGGTCATTGAAAATTGATGGTTGGAAGAGTACTCTTTCCAATTTTGAGACGTCTACAGAACCATCTCTCACGTTTAATGAGTGTGTGCATAACTTCATTTTCATAAATAATTTTTATTTTTCTCCATCTTGTTTGGTTTACCCAGAAGAAGCAACTTGTGTTTTATTCCGTGTGTCTGCTCCTTTCCTCCATTTTTTCTTTAAATATCATTTATTGCCGAGAGGAAAAGATGGACGTGGTAAACAAGTGCCAACAGCATTCTTCATGCTTATAAAGTACATTTGCCATTTTTCAGTGAAGATAGCAAAATAGAATGAGATAATGGCAAAAATATATTATTGTGTCTACATGTTTAAAAAATTAATTTTGTGAAGATTTGAAAAAGTGTGTATAGGTAGTCTTGTTTGGATCTCTTGTAAGATTTCTCATAGGTATATAGGAAAGATGTAGATTATTCTGAATCTATTTCACTGTTAAAATTTTGGTTACAGTATTTATGCTAAATCCTTATTTATATACTTTGTGCCAGATATGAATGTTTCCTGTTCCTCATTTAAAGTATTGAATGCTGTTGTCATTGTCATCTGAAGGAAACCAAAGCTTATTCATGTTGTTTATGATATAATTTTATTGTGTTATTATCTCTTATATGTGGAGGATCCTTTTAAATATTCAATCAAGAATTTTCTTGTGTACAAAATCATCCTTAGCACTGCTCTCTATTACACTGTCAAAGTTTCTATTGGGACCAAATGTCTGTTGTTTAGTAAGTGCACATGAGGAATTATATTTTGCAATCCCTCAGAGTTATGGCAAAGGCTCACTACACTCACTACTTCTAACTTTGAGTTGTACGTGGACTAAAGAGTGATGATCGTGAACACATTATTTCTAAATACTCTCAAGATGGTTATTTAACATTTTCCTTCAGATTCTAAGGAAATAAATGAAAGATGATTTGCTCTAGATGGCATCCTGTAAAGCTGTTTAAAAATAGTGTGGTGGTGTGGTTGCGGAACAGTGGATGCCCACTGAAATGTAAAAGTTTTTTTCAGTTTATGTGCTCTGTCTGGTTGGGTGCCAAATGATGTAGAGGATAAGGTATGATGAGCCATCATGTATTTTGTCAGATAGTTTTTGATATGACCTCAATGCAAGTGCCTCCTTGCATTGTAGTGATGTGATTGTTTCGAGTTGTGATTCGGTCTGTGTTGTGTTATGCGAGAGAGCAGTATTCCACGTTAAATAAAATTGCGAAAAATACTAAATTTTTGTTTCATGGAACCTTCAAAAAGTTCTATTTAGCAACTGGGGCACGTTTGTAGTAAGTGCACAAAGCTGTGATGGAGTGGTTCCGCTCGATCCGATTTGGGTCTAGGAGTGAAAAAGACGAGCGGATGGGGCCGAGCCGGTCCAGGTGGCCTTGCACCCCCCTCCCATCCCCCGTGACGCACTCTACTGCGTGCTGCTACGGCCGTTTACCGGAGTCCTTTACAATTCTGTGTGAACGAGTTCGTCGACGATCGATCGACGTGAAAGGGAAACGCCCCCATCTTCTCCGCTCCCTCGTCGGCCTCTGGTCACATCCCACAAAAAAAGTCACGATGAGGCCATAGGTCATATTGACCCCAATATGACCAGTTAAATGCGAAACTTTTTTCACATTTCGACAGGAGTCACCCCACCACGATTGTTTCGAATACAGGGTTGGTGACACGGTGGCGTAGGAGTGGAGCAACCCGCCAGGAGGAAGGTTCTCCAGTGGCGAAGCAGACAATTGTGCACTCATTTTTCCTTTCTCTCCTCTCTCAAAACCATTATGACATAAACATTCGAATGACAGTCGGTTTGCCCGATGGGGTGACATCGAGAGAAGCTTGATGAGTTACGGGGGTTTGCGGCATCAGACGGGCAGTTACCGTGTGCAGCACACCTGAGGGCAGGGGGGGCCGGTCCGCGGGAGAGGGGAGGGGGCGGCGTGGAGCCGTCCCCCCTCGGGGGCCCCCCTCGGCTCGCAGGGGGAGGACGGGGAGGCGCGCGGAGCGGAGGGGGAGGCCCGCTGGTGGCCCCTATATAAAAGGAGTGCAGCCCGCTCGGCCGGTCCAACCGTACTCGAGTCCTGCCCCCGACCAGATCATCGCCGCCAACATGAGATCGGTGAGTCAGAGCGACAGGGAGGATGCAGCGACAGGGCCTCTGACGACGCGGAGCCCACGGCAGCCCGGCGGGGTAGGCCGCAGCGGCGCACGGATGGCTGCGGGCTGCCTACCTCAGCGCCCGCCAGGCGCTCAGTGTAGTGCGGGACGTTCTTCTCTCCTTCAAGTAGTGCTTGTTGTACTCTAGTCCCGCCGAGCTGGTGTCCAGCCCAGCGGTGTGGAGTCCTGCTGCTAGTGTAAGTGAGGCTCGTGGGCGGTGGCGGCCGGAGCGGGTCGTGCGGACTGTCTTGTCCAGTTCAGTGCTAGGAGCGGGCATGTCGCAAGCGCGCTGCCGTAGCTGGTATCGCTTTCATTGTGTGTGTCTGCGGGGGGTTGAGGAGGAGGGGGGGGGGGCTACGCATAGAGACGGACAGGCCCATAGCAGGCAAAGTGGACCAGCGGGCTCGTAAGGAAATGGGAGCTCGTGTAGCGCGTTTAGCAGTCACCCCAGTTTGCCCTATATCCATACGCACCGCACCTTATGGACAGTCGTGCCCCCCAGCCCCTTTCAGATCGACGGTGCGCTCTCCAGAACCATCCCGGTGCCTCCTGGACCCTAAGGACCGCTTGGGACGCAACGCCGGGCCAGCGGCCCCCTTGTTACTTCACACTAGGCCCCCTCAGCCCCGCCCCGCAGGCCCCGCCCCGCCGCGCCGCGCCCTGGTCCAAGGCCGGTGGGTAGCTACCCGGCCCAGGCCCAGCGGCCGTCTCGTCCATCGCTCCACTTCATTAAACCGCGGCAGTGGGTTCAAACAGTTGCGTGTCGGAGGAGAGCAGCGCGAGGTGTGAGTGCGCGCGAGACGCCCGGGGCGTCTGATAGGCTCTTAGCAGGCTCTTCCGAGGGGCCTTCGGGGTGACCGCGATAGACGTCGGTTCTTTTGGAGCATGTGCTGTTCTTATGGTCGGTGGGGGGAGGGGGAGATACCCCCTCCAAACTCTACATTTGTGTGCGAGACATCTCTTGCGCCGCGCGTCGTCGTGCCCGCTCGGCTCCCCTCACCCCCGGGCCCATTGTCGTGTTGGCCTCGGGTCAGGATACAGCCAGGACGCCGTCAGGACACCGCACGGTGACGTAAGGGCCGGGTACTGGTCGGTACAGTCCGAGCCATGCACGCCGGCCGGTGCGCGCGGGGTCGTTGCACTTGGGCGCGCGGGCTGAGCAGCTGAGCAGCGTGGGTACAGCCCCATCGGCCGCACCGCAGCCAGCGTGCTCAGCGGAGCGGAGCGCAGCAAAGCGCAGCGAAACTGGGCCAAATACACAAGACGGGCTTTTGTTGTTGCTGTACGATATAGCACGTTGTCAAATCCAGGTTAAATCACTTGTGGGGAGACGCTTCGTGGGTGCCTTGGTGGGTGCTGCTCGCACTGCAGTGACATCCTCCTGTCACAGGTCCTGATGGTGTTCGCCGTGCTGGCGGTGGTCGCAGCGCGCCCTCAGCAGCAGCAGCAGCTCCAGCAGAGGCCCATCGCCATCCTCTCGCAGGACGCCGTGGTCAACTCGGACGGCTCGTTCCACTCCAGGTAAGCAGCCCCGTCGCCGGCTCGCGCTGCCTGGCGCACCTATCGCCTCCAGCACGCCATCCTCACCACCCCGATCTGCTCCAGGTTCGAGACGGAGGACGGCGTCAGGCGCCAGGAGGTCGGCCAGCTCCGCCAGCTCGGCGGAAAGGACGTCGCCGAGGTGGTCCAGGGACAGGTGCAGTACTCGGACCGCGAGGGTAACCAGTACGACCTGAGGTTCACCGCCGACGAGAACGGCTACCACCCCGAGGGCGCCCACCTCCCCCAGCCGCCACCCATCCCCGCCGAGATTCAGCGCTCCATCGAGTACAACCTCGCTCACCCCGAGGAGGACGAGTCTCAGAAGTACACCTCGTAGACTCGACACGCACATACAAACACATCGACTCTCCTTCACTCTCTACTCGTCACCATGACAAAGCTTCCGCACCCCAGGTAGAAAATGACGCGAACAAAAGTTAATAACCAATTACGAGAACGGGAGAGGGAGACCAAACGTAGCCTCGGGGACTGGCTATGAATGGTTTTACCGTTCTCACACACCACGCAGAGACTATTACGTGATTGTCATCATTCCATATCATCATAAATCAAAAAACGTGTGATTAGAAATGCTGGATTTGATTGCCGGTGTTTTCCCTGCTGTACAATATTTGTACATTTCTCATAGACACCTTGTACTTATTTGTTTAAAATGTCCTCTTTGTGATGCTATTAAAAATTAAGATTTCAACAAACCACAACAAAGACAATAATGTTTTACATCGACAACCCATCCCAATTGAATTGGACGTCATCAAGCATGCTCAATAATAGCGCTCCAGAATTGGTTGTGAGAGCAAACCATTATGGCGATGTCAACGAAACCTCTTCTACTGTAACTAAATCGCGTTACCCATGAAAACTGAAACCACACCCATTGGAATGCTCGGACGTATCGCCGTATACGTTTATGCTGGACCCGCTATTTTTTCCCCTATGCGTATCTGAACCACACAAACACACACGGTTGCAGATTACTCCGATTTTCAAAGAGACGCTGCGTTGGGTACACGATGTCGTTTGTCGGACTGTCAGATGGCCGTTTCAACTCTTCACCTTCGGGACCGCGTTTTCGTTAGAAGGTGTCAAGTTATTGATGGTGTTGGTCCTGTGCGGTTTGCACAACGCCAACGTCACTGGGCCGGGCGTGGCTCTCGAAGTGATACAGGGGCGGAGAGGATGTCCAAGGCCCAAGGCTGACGGGGCATATGACCCGGGCCTTCGCCTTCACTTCACCCGCTTGCACTTTCCATCTCACTCACATTTACTATGGTTTTCGGGCCAACCGGTTTGGACCCCTCTCCAGCAGGGACGTCCGATGATACGGAGGAGTGCACGGGTCTTGTGCGTGAGAGAGGAAGAGAGAGAGAGAGACAGAGACAGAGAGAGAGACTGTGTGTGTTGGCGCGCGCGCGTGTGTGCGCGTGTGTGTGTGTGTACAGGGACACGACAAGAGACACAAATCAACACAGCCTCGGTATGACATCACCTGTTTCCAAATTTAGTTTTGTGGTGTGTATATGTTTGTGAGAAGCTTTTGTCATTTTTTTTCAACTTGGACTAAAGTAAATCTTCAGCATTCAGGAAGTATCTTCACTTTTAAGACGAGGTCTCGTGTCTCGGAAGTCTTCAGAGAAGCATGCAGCATTTATGCATCGGGTAGCACGCATCGCAGTAGTGCCCACTGGCGTAACTCCAAAATCTGTATTTTTCAGCCACCTGGTAGACATTGTTATTGCTATTTGTAGAATTGGTTTTAGTTGCTCTACATAGTTTACATTTCATTTGGAGGATACTCATAGCTGTTATTGGCAGTTTGTGAGTTTACAACGGACTCCAGGAAAGAGGTAATTCCCAAACTGCCAAAAGTCTCAAGAACGAGTGAAGGTTGGAGATCGTCAGTTTTTATTTTCACACAGTCAAAACAAGGTCATTCTCCAAATGGCATGCCAATGATTGGCTTGGCTGCAAAACTTATCACAATTTAAAGCGTTAATTATCAGTTCTGGCGGTGGCGGTCGGCGAGCGCGGCGGGGCGGTCCTGGCCGGGGTCATCATCAGAGTCCGGCGCCGGCGGCACCTTCGCGACTCGGAAGGCCACCGAAGACAGGTGGGTCGCAGTGTCGGGTGGAAGTCGTGGGGTCGGCGGGTCAGAGCGGCGAGGAGTCCTCCTTACTGCCTCTGGCTGTCCTTGGGGTCCTCCTCCTCGGGGTGGGCGGCGTTCCACTCGAGCGCGCGCTGGATCGCGGCTGGGATGGCGGGCACCAAGTCACCCTGGGGCTGGTAGCCGTTCTCGTCGGCGGTGTAGGTGAGGCTATGCTGCTGGCCGTCGTTGTCGGTCCAGGACACCTGGCCCTGGATGGCCTCACCCTGGTCGCCGGCGCCGAGCTGCTTCTGCACGCCCTTCTCGGAGCGGCTCACGCCGTCGCCGGTCTGGAAGCTGAAAGGAGGTGCGCAAGTGCGCGCGACGTTAGGGATCATCTAGAAAGTTCGTCCGTTTTCATCAAATCCATTCGACAAATCACGAGAGCTCGGCGCCTGCGAGACTCGGGGTAGGCAAGACCGCAGTACACGCATGCCCTGCATGAAAGATGTTGCCTACCTACCAGGCGTTCAGAGAGCTTTACAGAGACCGAACTTTGCAGGTTCGTAACGGCGAATGTCGGGCGTACTTTCTGGATGATCCCTTAGGAACCACCTCGGCCCTCGACCCCTCACCCCTCGTGTACTGTTCGTTTTGCGTAACTTCTATCCCATCCCGGTTGAGGTTGAATAGGCAGAGGTCATGCGGAGAGGGCGATGTGCCCCAGGCTACAATACTGCACGGCCCCATTGCGACACAATGCCGCAGCCCCGCGGACGGACAGACAGACAGACCGCGAGACGTACGGCTGCCGGCCGGACGCGCATGCAAAGAAAAGGCCCGGGCAGAACAAACCGTAAGAACAAGGACGCTTGTACCAACCTGGAGTGGTGGGAGCCGTCGATGCTGAGCTCGGCGTCCTGGGAGAGGATGGGCACGGGGGGCTTGTACTGCTGGGGCTGCTGCTGGAGCTGCTGGGGCCGGGCGAGGGCCACGGCCAGCAGGGCGCACGCGACGATGACCTGGGACAAGATTATTGGTGTAAAGCACGGCGTAGAATGTCGGTGCAGGCTACCGGCTCATTACCAAAGCAAGAGGGTGACTTCCTCGTTTAGAGCAGGTTCCAGGTCGTTTCACTGGTAAACAGTGAAAAGGACGAAAGCCCTCGGAGGACTTACGCCCTTTTCACTTTTCAGCAGTGATTTGTGGCTCTGTTGTCTTGAGTCTAGCCTAGCATTGAGTTTGTCTTCCTTGAGAGACTTCCCCAAACCAAACACACGCCCGCACGGCGACGTCTACCAGCCTTACCAGCTTCATTGTGATGATCGGGAGGGCTTCGACTTGAATACTGCTCGTCTTCTCCCGCCGGACGCTTTTATAGGAGGCGGGGCGTCCTGAAGGCCGGTTACGGCGCCGGTGTGGGGCCCGGCGCGGAGCGGCCGGCCGGCCCGGCGCGGGGCGGCCGGGGTCGGCAGATGTGTCGACGGGGCGAGGCGGGGCGAGGCGGGGTGCGGCACAGGGGCGGGGCGGAAAAAACGGGGTCCCCGCGCGCGCGTTGCTGCTGCTCCCAACACGGAGACTACCGCCGCCGCGCGCTCAGCTCCGACGACAAGCGTGACTACATAGCACTGAACGACTTTGTTGTCGAAGGGAGACTTTGGGGCGTGTGTCGCGCTCTTGCGGCGCCCCCTGCAGTCCGTCTTCCTGAACACATTTCCCTGCCCGGGCCCAGGGCCGGGCCCAGGGCCCTCCTTGTCAGACTCTACAAACTGTCCCAATTTTATCCTGGGCCGCGGCGGGAGGCGCAGGAGGCGGCTCGAGTGTCAAAAGCACCCAGCGTTGTTATGTGTCGACGGAATGACTGCGATTAATTAAGACTCCCTCCCTACCTCTTGTTCCTCGGCGTCTTCACCTCCTCCTCCCTCTTCTCCCCCTCCTCTTTCTCCCCCTCC